TTAGTGGTGAATTTAGTTTGCGATTTAATTTTTCTTTTGCGTGCTTCCTTGTTTTATCATGGAGGGTATAGCACATAAACCCTTTTGCAGCAGAATGAAAAAAGATTTTTCACATCATCTAATTCTGTGACAAGGAAGCTGAAAATAGCAATTTTATCATTCCTGTTGCACATTTTACAAAGCACGTAAACGAGATTGCTGGAGTATCATTTTCAACAATAAAAAAATAATAATAATAATTGCCAGGAAGCAGGCCATGAAGATGAACCAAATTTTACTTCATTGATAGAGTTTAAAAAATTCTGGCATTAGATTGTATTGATTAGGCAATGTTGATTGTGACATGATTAGAAGAATAATCCATGGTTTCTATATCAAAGAGAAGAAAATCCTATTGATTCCTAAATTACTGCCTGTTGTAAAAGAGAAGTTCAATTTTCCTTGAGATAAACTGACATAATACATAAAAGTCTTTTTCTTCTTCCAAAAGCAGTCTTTCTACATGTAAATGTTCCCGTCCATATCAGAAAAAATACCACCTCTATTTTACAAATAGATCAGTTTAACGTGTGCATGCCTGCTTGCTTTCATGGTCTTGGCTAAGTTGGCCGGATAATATCTTAGACCAACATCAGCTTATATACACAAAATGTTTGAAAAATAAAACATCTATTATAAATTTATTATAAATTCAATGATAATATATAAATTATAAATAAAAAAATATACTGTACATGTTATTTTCAATGTATATTTAAACTAAAATAAAAGTAGTAATAGAATATTTTAAACAGAAACATAATAAAGTATTTAAGCTCCCTTTTAGTTGAATAAGTATAATTATTATTTACTCATAAAATCATTTAGCATTCTTTATTGTGTTACAAGTGAAGGAAACAATTTAAACAAGATAAAATGTTTTTTTGAAACTTGTATGTCTCACAAGGAGATGGCATGATGTTGGGGTCATCAATTTTGATTGAACTCAGTGACGATTTAGTGCTTCCCCCAACAACTGGCATGTGGCCAGTAAGGCGCACTACTCAAAATTAAATGAGAAAATTGAGGTTGAAAATTTGCATAATTACTTAAAACCTTTAGAATTTCCATCATTTGTAGGTTGGCCAGTGCTTGGTGAGGTGTGCCAATTCAATGATTAAGAGGTTGGTGTTTCAAATCTTATTGGTATTAACAAAATTTTTTTTAAAACTATAAATTAACTCTCCTAAACCTTATAACTCCAGTAATAAACATTTAATAGCAAACTAACATTTTCAACCGTACATTCGGTCTTCTTCAGGTTTAAAAAACCAGTTATATTCGAACATGTGAATGCATAGAACAAAAATTATTTTCAGAATTTTTGTTCTATGCATTCACATGTTCGAATATAACTGGTTTTTTAAACCTGAAGAAGACCGAATGTACGGTTGAAAATGTTAGTTTGCTATTAAATGTTTATTACTGGAGTTATAAGGTTTAGGAGAGTTAATTTATAGTTTTAAAAAAAATTTTGTTAATACCAATAAGATTTGAAACACCAACCTCTTAATCATTGAATTGGCACACCTCACCAAGCACTGGCCAACCTACAAATGATGGAAATTCTAAAGGTTTTAAGTAATTATGCAAATTTTCAACCTCAATTTTCTCATTTAATTTTGAGTAGTGTGCCTTACTGGCCACATGCCAGTTGTTGGGGGAAGCACTAAATCGTCACTGAGTTCAATCAAAATTGATGACCCCAACATCATGCCATCTCCTTGTGAGACATACAAGTTTCAAAAAAACATTTTATCTTGTTTAAATTGATTCCTTCATTTGTAACACAATAAAGAATGCTAAATGATTTTATGAGTAAATAATAATTATACTTATTCAACTAAAAGGGAGCTTAAATACTTTATTATGTTTCTGTTTAAAATATTCTATTACTACTTTTATTTTAGTTTAAATATACATTGAAAATAACATGTACAGTATATTTTTTTATTTATAATTTATATATTATCATTGAATTTATAATAAATTTATAATAGATGTTTTATTTTTCAAACATTTTGTGTATATAAGCTGATGTTGGTCTAAGATATTATCCGGCCAACTTAGCCAAGACCATGAAAGCAAGCAGGCATGCACACGTTAAACTGATCTATTTGTAAAATAGAGGTGGTATTTTTTCTGATATGGACGGGAACATTTACATGTAGAAAGACTGCTTTTGGAAGAAGAAAAAGACTTTTATGTATTATGTCAGTTTATCTCAAGGAAAATTGAACTTCTCTTTTACAACAGGCAGTAATTTAGGAATCAATAGGATTTTCTTCTCTTTGATATAGAAACCATGGATTATTCTTCTAATCATGTCACAATCAACATTGCCTAATCAATACAATCTAATGCCAGAATTTTTTAAACTCTATCAATGAAGTAAAATTTGGTTCATCTTCATGGCCTGCTTCCTGGCAATTATTATTATTATTTTTTTATTGTTGAAAATGATACTCCAGCAATCTCGTTTACGTGCTTTGTAAAATGTGCAACAGGAATGATAAAATTGCTATTTTCAGCTTCCTTGTCACAGAATTAGATGATGTGAAAAATCTTTTTTCATTCTGCTGCAAAAGGGTTTATGTGCTATACCCTCCATGATAAAACAAGGAAGCACGCAAAAGAAAAATTAAATCGCAAACTAAATTCACCACTAACAATAAATGAGTTTTTAAAATATTTCAATTAATAATACATTAATTAATAAATGAAATGGCCAAAGTTAATAATAAAAATAAAAAAATATTCACAAATCAGAAGAAAGAATAAAATGTCCTAATATGTTGTCTTTCTTCAACAACCTTAGCAAACAATAGTTTTTATTGGTGGAGTCAACTTTTTGTTTGAGGCTACTTGTCTGCCTTGTTATATAGAAATGTTTTAAAGAAATTTGTAGCAAATAATGAATATATTTCCTTGTTTTCCAGGAAATATATTCATTATTTACTGATTTTTTTTTTTGTGTTTAGGTGTATTAAACTAGTGTTTTTTTTTATTAATTTATTAGTATTAATATCTTGTTATATGCAACATCTAGAGCAGGGGTGTCCAACCCTCGGCCCGCGGGCCGCATGCGGCCCAAGGCAAGTTCCAATGCGGCCCAATAAACGTGTAAACAAAACCAGACAAATGTTTTAATTTATTATTATTTATTTATTTTAATGGCATAAACTCAAAAAAGAAGTTTCACAAAGCCGTAAACCTTTATTCATATTTTATTTTTGAGTGGAAAAAAAATATTTTCAAATACTGTACTTGGAGATGTGTGAATGCGGAAGGATTACTAAATAAAGCTGGAGTTGTGACTCAAAGGATTATAGACCCAAATTTGGGAAAAGGAGGGAAAGATGAGAAAGGACAAAAGATGTAGTAGTGAGAAACGTTAAATAGATCTTCTGTTAAGCAAATATGGACCCGTAATTTTTCAACCTTTTTCACTTCTTTATCTTTTGTCCTTTGCCTCTTTTTCCCCGCACTTGGGTCTATAATCCTTTGATTCACAACTCCAGCTTTATTTAGTATTTCTTCCAACGTTGCAAGATTTGGCTACATTGGGCCAAATGTGGCTACTTTTTTTTGTTTGACGTAAAAAATATCATTTGGCGCTTTGGCTACTTTTTCGGCTACATATTATTTATAATTATATTAATTGAATAAAAATGCACTTTAAAATGGTGTTTCGTCGCTTTTTATTAATTAGAGACCCAAATAAAACAAATATTTGTGTTTTTCAAATAAATTTTCTTTAGTCTCTTTTATAATAAATGAATTTATCTATTTCTAAGTAAAAATTGAAAGTGTCTGTAGAAATACTTTTTTAAAATATCCTTTTTTCTTGATAAGGTTTTAATACTTATTATTATAATCTAGACATGTTAATTTTTAAATATACTTATATATTGGGCCACAAGTATATATTATATATATTTGTGGCCCAAAACTCCTTCTTCCAATGCGGCCCAGAGAAACAAAAAGGTTGGACACCCCTGATCTAGAGGAACACTGAATGAAATTTAGTTTCGTGTACATAATTGTTTTCATACATCATTATTATGTTTAATTAAGTTAGCAAAATATTATTTTGTTAAAAGATCTTTTAGAAATTTATTAAAAATTCAGTTGTTTTATATTTTATTTAAATCTTTATTTATATTGTATTTTGTTTATATTTTTTAGGTAATTATAGTTTGTATGTATAGTTTTTTAGTAGGATAAATAGCCTATGTCAGTACATTTATTTTTTCAGATAATTTTTAAGAAATGTATTTAGATCAAGTGTTTTTGTAGAAGAACAATGAAAATTATTATAGGTATTTACTGTATATTAATTTCTTTCAAAAGTTCAAAAATATTTTCAGTCTTCAAATAAAATTTTAAAAAAGTATTATTTAGTAATAGCAAAATTAATATTTAGCATTATTTTTGTACTCTTTCTGCTCTTTGGACACTAATAGGACCTTTTTAACATGCTCATTATGGGTTTGGCCAGATTCGTAATACAGACTACCAGTTGGTGAGGTATGGTATCCCAACATATTCAGGACAGATCACCAACAGAAAAACTCCTGGGATTGTCTGCCTTGATTATTCAGTTTCAAGTAGCAGACCGACATCTTTATAGTCAATTGTTAACATTTTAGAATTACCATAGTATATTGTACAAAATATTTAGAAATTAAATATATACAAAATGACTTTATACAAAATAAAATTTATCTATTTATGCATATTTTTTTCATGTCATATTATTGAAGGTTTGATTAAATCATAATTTGTTTAATTAATCTAATAATGGATACCAAATTTGTTATGAAAGTAATTTATATGAAGTAATTTTATTCTTAGAAAATGAATGACAATCTTTAAATATATTTGTCATTAAATTTTTGAATTTGAATAAAACAGTTCTTTTGGTTTAATTTATCTATATGTTTATTTGAACAATTTAGGTAGGATCATTTCAGCTTTTTGTAGAAGGTTACAAAGATGCTGATTATTGGTTAAAAAAATTTGAATGTGAACCATTACCTGAAGAATTGCAGCATCAGTTCCAATTACAGTTTGAACGTCTTGTTGTATTAGATTACATAATCCGAAATACAGGTAAATCTTTAACTCTGTTTATTTTAAAAATAACTCTACATTGTGTATGTGCATATACAGTGGGTGATCGGTTAACGAACATAATCCGTTCCAAGATTTTGTTCGCTATCCGAATTGTTCGTTAACCGATTATCGATTTACCGTAGGTTTTAATGGGAATTTAATTAATTCATTCTGGAGACCTTAAAAAATAAAAATTATATACCTTCTTACTACGTTTATTTATATGTAATAAGTTAATAAAACTACATACATACACAGTATTGCGTTTTTATTAGTCATGTTTTTTCCATTTGAAAAGGTTAAAGAATCTGTCTAATGTCGATTGCTTTTCTCTCTTCATGATTTTTCGTAAGTAATTAATAGCATTGTAATTGTAGAGGTCCCCAAGCCTCAACATGGTTTGGATGCCATTCTAAGACCGTTGTTCTGACATCCTCCCACTTCTATAAAGGATCTTTAATTACAGATATCGACATTAATCCTCTTTTTCAGAAGAAAACATATCTTGCCGAGTTTCTTGGTGTTCTTCATTCAAAAGTTCTAGGCGTTCTTCTGTCGTCAGATCCGTTTCAGGTTCCATTACGAACTCTTCGATGTTCTTTATTTCTCAGAAGTGATTTTTGTTACTGCTTTAGCTGCTGGAGTCTTTTTGATTATACAGCATTTTTCTTAAATAAGATTGAACTGAGGTCTACTGTAGACCTGTTTATTCCATATTGCCCAGCAACATTAGGTATCTTCTGTCCACTCTCTACCTTTGCTGTTATACTCTCATCTTTCGAAAAGAAAAATAGACGCAAAACTTAATGAGTGTCTACCCGACAGTCTTGCGAATACACAAAAGAATTGTTTTGCCAGAAAAATAAAAGGCTGAAATTACAAGGGAGGATTTCAAAGTTCGGAGGAATACTATCCGATCGGCTTGAGCGTCGATGTCGATGTCTTCCACACTCCGAAAAGTTTCGAATTGTTGCCCGAAGACAAGGGAAGACCAATCGGTATTCATTATTTTACGTCGTTTCTTCTTGTATTTGTTCTGTGGGGTGTTCATTATTCGATCATGTGTTTGTTGTCCGAACATAAAAATCTTTTGCGAAAGTGTTCGTTATCCGATCTGTTCGTTAACCGATCACCCACTGTACTTAGATATCTCTTATTTAATACATTCTGCCAAGAAGCTCATTAATTTGTGTTAACATAAATGGAAGAACGTTCTATTTTTATCTGTTAGTTATTTTTGTTTTAATTATGGTTAGTTACACTAAATAGTTCAAAAAGTAATAAATGTTTTATGAATCTTTTTATTAAAATGATTTAATGAATTATAACACAATAGATATAGATATATAGATATGCTGATTTTTCGTGAGTTTATGGTATGAGAAGAGTAAAAAATTATTTCAGATTCTTTTATTATAAAAAAATAACTGCATTATTGCAGTTATTTTTTTACAATAAAAGAATCTGAAATACTCTTCTTATCTCCATTTTACCTACAAAATTTATTTATAAGAATTCATGAAATTATCACAACTCTTCTCATACCATAAACTCATGAAAAATCAGCATACTGTTCTAAAATATTCATGGATTTATTATAGAATAAAAAATCATTTTAAAATTTTAATACTTGACACTATTTGTGATTTATTGACTTCTTGCTTGAGTGGCAGCATGGGATGGAAGTTGTGTCATGATATTCATCTGTTAAAGCTAGCTGAAGCAGCTAGTTATCCTGAAATAACAAAAAATGACATTGAACTCATGCTGGATGAAGCATATGCCAATTTGGAGAATATCATCAGTTGTATTATAGCAAACTTATGCTAAACAGGATAATAGTAAACTCAAGGTGTTTTATAGTTAACTTGTAAATTTAAAACTTTTTAAATGCTTTTTGTTACTAAAAGAATACTAGAAGTGCTTATAAATTGTATTACCATAAATTACACTGGTGAAATTTATTGAATATGAGTCCCCAAAAAGTAAATTAAAAATACACTGAAATTTTTATTATTATTGTTAAGTGGCTTTTTTTTATTTTAAGTATTTGTTTTTACTTTTTAATATGCTAGAATTATCCATATCAATATTATCAGTATTAATTATCTTTGAGAAATTTCTCATTCCTATTAATATTTAATCATTTCAAGATTCGGATAGTTCACTAAAAAAAAAGGGTTAAAATCTTTGTCATATTTATCTAAAAAATTAAAAATAAACCTCTAAATCTCTATTCTAAAAATAAAGATTTAATTAATTAATTTTAGTTGCTACAAAATATGTATTAAATATGAATATTCAGATAAATAGATTGCAGTGATACATAATTAATTTGTTAAAATTTTCATATTAATTATATAGAGTGGAAACTTGATTATCCAAATGGGTCTTTCAAAAAAAAAAAAAAATAATTTTGTATAATCTAGAAACTTGTTTGTTTGTGTTTTGTGGCATCAAGCACTGTGCATTTAAAGTTTCATTAACTATCAATACAGTAATTGCATTACAGTATTTAAATTAAGTTAATTTACTCAAAATCTAATGCAATGTTTTGTATATGACCTAGTTTTGCAGCACTACAGTTGACAGGTGACATAGTAATTTTCGGTTACATGGAGAGTTTGGTCTCTGTGTATTATACTCTGTGGTATGTAGAACATTTTTTTTTTTTTTACCATTTCAGGTAATCAAGTTTCTACCGTATATTTTTGTGGTGACTTGAGAGCTTGCTATTTAATTTCTAATTTTAACTTTTATTGGCAAAAACTAAATGTGTTTTTTGAAGTACATTCAATAGTTTACAGTGATTGTGTGATTTCTCTAGAATTTATAATATATATAACATTACAATGATGTTATTTATAACATTGAATAGAACAAAAATAAAAAATCTTTAGTAGTAAATTCCATATGATGATAACTTTAAAGAATGTTCTTTAAGAATATTATTAAGATTATTTTGATACTTTGATTTGATATAAAACACGTTTTTAGATATCATGCAAATTTAAAGTTGTCTGCAACAATTTGTAATTATATAACATTATACTTAAAATAAATTATCCATTAACAATTGTTATTGTTAGCTGCAGTTTTGTTACTGGAAGTTATTAATTGTAGTAAGTTCAGTGTGCTGTAGAACAGTTAAAAACTAAATTAATATTAATAACTAATCAGTTTTTAACTGATTAAAAAGTTATTTGTGATTTATTGTCTTCTTGCTTGAGTGGTAGCATGGGATGGAAGTTCTGTCATTTAACTGACAAAGAATTTTGAGATGGCACTATTGATTAAGCAATTACAGGAAAGAGATAACATTGTAAACTTGTCATTAAACTTCTTTTTTTTTTTTGTTTTGTTTTAAGATAAAACAACATAATACTAATATTTTATTCATTAAAAGTAAAAGAAAAAAAAGTTAAACTTAATGCAATGGAAAGTAAAAATAATAAATATGAGACAATATAAGAACAATATTTAAATTTAAATTATTTTATTAGACATATGGCAGTCGTGCATCTTAAGTTTATGTTGTCCAAAAATGGTGTTTGACGTCACAAATGGAATTCTGACAGCTTTATTATCATAATGGAGTTTAGGGATAGCTAAAAGTTTATCTTCATGGAAATTGAACATATGGCTAATCTTAACTATTGTTATATAGTGAACTCCCATATAACATGACAAAAAATACTTCTAGGCCTAGGTTTAAACTTGCATAAAATTGTGTGATAATACAGTTTCAATAACACTATTTCCTATAACACATAATGTATCCCCCTGCATTGTATGGGACTCTTCTGTATAGATAATATCAGTTATTGCCATTAGTATGTGCAGGGTATTAGGCATCCATTTTTGATGAAATGTCATTAGACTGAGACACTGTCAACTGGGTAATGGTGAGTAGGTGATGGACATCTGGGCAACAACATAAGAGATGAACAATAGATAAAATACAAATTTTTTGTTTTCTTTATAAAAAAAATGCCAATCTTTTCTATTGATCTACTAAATAATAATCTTTAAATTACAAGTTAAAGAACAATTTTGTAATTAATAAACATATTTATACATATTGCATAGTTTATTTATTTATTTATTTTTACAAGTAAATAGAAAAGTTTCAAAGAACAATTGATATCTATCCACAAAATTAACAAATATACATAAAAACAAAGACAACAATTTACATAAAATTAAAAATACATTATATTATACACTAATTACAATATAAATTAAAACAAAATGTATAAAAGTTCTCTGAAAGAATTTATTTTTGAAGAACTGCTTTTCTTTGATGTGCTTTGTTAAGTGTTCTGACATAAAATAATTAATGAGCTATGGTATGTTATTCCAAAACATTTATTTTTCCTAAGTTGGAAATAACTTGTAACTCATAATTTGTAACTTACAACTTGTACTTTGTAAATCTTAACCATATTTATATTTATACCATATATATTTTACCAATATTTACAAATAAATAAATAAATAGTATGTGCCAAATTGTATGCTTGCTAAGTGGGCAAAAATTTTCAAGTTTCTGTTGCTCAGATGACTGTAATATATATAACATTACAATGATGTTATTTATAACATTGAATAGAACAAAAATAAAAAATCTTTAGTAGTAAATTCCATATGATGATAACTTTAAAGAATGTTCTTTAAGAATATTATTAAGATTATTTTGATACTTTGATTTGATATAAAACACGTTTTTAGATATCATGCAAATTTAAAGTTGTCTGCAACAATTTGTAATTATATAACATTATACTTAAAATAAATTATCCATTAACAATTGTTATTGTTAGCTGCAGTTTTGTTACTGGAAGTTATTAATTGTAGTAAGTTCAGTGTGCTGTAGAACAGTTAAAAACTAAATTAATATTAATAACTAATCAGTTTTTAACTGATTAAAAAGTTATTTGTGATTTATTGTCTTCTTGCTTGAGTGGTAGCATGGGATGGAAGTTCTGTCATTTAACTGACAAAGAATTTTGAGATGGCACTATTGATTAAGCAATTACAGGAAAGAGATAACATTGTAAACTTGTCATTAAACTTCTTTTTTTTTTTTTTTTTNCCAAATTGTATGCTTGCTAAGTGGGCAAAAATTTTCAAGTTTCTGTTGCTCAGATGACTGTCACCCACTTGTCTACTGTCTATTGTGAATCAACCAGTTGTCATGTACCCATTAGACTGTCCCTATCTACACTATATTTATTGTTATATAATTTAAATAATTATCTCTAAGAATAAATTGCTTCTTTTAATGTATAGGAACAGTAGTCATTTATAATTGTTGAAAAATTTTAAAATAATGTAATATTATAACAAATTATTCTTCACATCAGTTTAAATTGATTAATTATATAGTATTTCATTGATATCTTAAAACTTATTTATAAACCTTCTTACATTTCCATATTATGGATATATTGTTGATATAATAAAACTTTGTCATTACACTTTCTTCACAGTCATAAATACTGTGGTCTCAATGAAATTAAGAATTAGTTTGGTATACATCCCTTGTCAAAATTTTTTCTGTTATGTTTATTTACAGTATATGTACAGTACAATATAATACATGTATATTGTAATAATTGTTTTTTTTATAAATTTTTAAAAAGTTTTCATAAGTTTATTAAATAGTCATTTATAAACAATTTTTTTCCAGATAGAGGAAATGATAATTGGCTAATAAGATATACAAAACCTGAAAATATTGAGGTAGGGTTCTCTTTCTTAATTTAAAATATATTTTGAAATAACTGTTATGAAATGTTGTTAATATAAAGAAATACTTTAGAAATTTGTTTAACAATGAAATAGTTTCAGATATCCAGAAATCACAAGAAATTTCAAATTCTAGGACCATTTTTTTTTTCTAATTCCTGTAATGTCTTCAAGAAGATTCTACTTCTTATATTCTATGGTTTCCAAAAACATTCAAATGTTCAAAAGTCTGTTCCCATGAACATTCAAAAATAAATTTAATATTTTTTTGGCGTTTTTAATGTTTGAAAATCTGTTCTTGGAGGTTTTTTAAAAGTGTTCAAAGATCTGTTGTTTGTTTGGAATGTTTTTGGAGACTGTTGAAGATAAATGGAATCTTTGTGAAAATAGAGATAATGGCTTCTTCAGTTTCATAATTGTTGTTATTTCTTGATTTAACATGGAGTAATTTTTTTCTGTGTTGCGAGTTTCAAATATGCATTCCAATCAATTTATTTTATATTTTAAAGATGAACGTAATACATTGCATTCATTAATGCTCATTAGAATTTACCTCACAGTAATCATGTAATAACAATACTTGAATTAAATATAGTAGAACATTTGTATTTATAGGGTGGGTTATGTTTTACAAAACCACAAATGCAGAAGTTAAAAATATGGAAAAGAAAAATACACTGAAAAAATAATAAAAGGAATTGAAAAATATGGTTAGAAAATAAAACTACATTTTTATATGAAGAAATTTTTGCTACAGTATTTCAAATATCTTCTTTTTCTTAATGTATCTTATGGTAGATTCATTTAAAACAAAAACATGAGCTAGTATAGTTGCTGAATTTTTTCTCATTAAATGATGTAGCACTTTAATTTTGTTTTTTAGGGACACCACATTCTCTGGATTTTTTGATATTTTACCACTGAAGTCTTTTTATTTAAAGTGATATTCTTCATTTCTGAAGATAAAACAAGAAGTATAGTATAATGCTGACATTTACCATCCACACTAATAAAAAAAAAAAATTATAGTTAGTGCACATGTTTAAAATAAGCAAGAAACTATAAAATAATTTCCATTAGCATTGTCTAATGGTTAACACAATTTTGAAATGTTTAAGATAAAAATATTAAAAATTATTTTTGTTTTTTTATCCATTGTTTTCGTGATTTTGTTAATTCTTCAGCAAGTTAGTTTCGTGAGTATGAAAAATGGTTGAAAAATACTGAATTGTGAAATTTACAAATATGACTTTATAAATTTATGGGAAATGTGAAATTGCACTTTCACATTTACATGTTAAAAAATTATTTCTTATAATTTTTAGAAAAATAATCTAAATAATATAATTTTTACAAAATAAACATATGTAAATTTTTTATTTTAGACTTGGACAACACAAAAACCTGCAGAAATAAAAATTGCTGCAATAGATAATGGACTATCATTTCCATTTAAACATCCAGATTCATGGAGAGCATGTAAGTAAAACATTCCAGGCTTTTGTTCACAGTTAATATCAAATAAATTGACAGAAACCAAATCAATTTATTTGCTTAATTTAATATTTTAAATTTTGATATAAATTCTGCTTAAATGATATATCTCAGAATACAAAATTATTTCCAAATTGAATTAGTAAGAATATAATTATTTTCAAAAATATAGAACTTGTTTCTGCATATTCATTCTTATTTTTTTAGCAGTCTTAGGTAATAGATCATGTTTTATATATTATAAGACTCAGAAAACAGAATTTATGAATCAGGTAAAAATTAAAAAAAAAAAAAAACTTTTGTAAATTTGAAATAAAACTCTATACCAAAATTTTAATAATTTAAACATTAATAGAATTAATTAAAAAAAATTATTTTATTATGTAGAATGTTTGCTTGTGTTATTAATAATATATAAGTTGTTCCATGTAAATTGCATATGCAAGTTTATCACATTTGCATTAAAAGTTAACAAAATCTGTAATTAAACTTTTGATGTTACAGCTTTTGGTATGTTATCACTTGGTTGATCAACTATCACAAAGAGCAACTTTTGATACTTTTGTTTTTTAACAATTATCTCACCATTAGTTAGTGTATTGCATGTAGAAATTCTAGAGATATTTTTATTTTGCCTGAAGAATCATATTAAACAATCTATGAAACAAAGTAGTTTAATTACATTTTCTAAATTGAAACTCTTAATATTGAATTTTAATCATTTACTTAATATGATATTATGAAATGTGAAGTAATACTGTAGTTAATTTATGCATGAATGAATTTCATTAACTTTGTGTGAATGAGGTAGAATGATCCACGCCACATTTTTAAATAAAACATTATATATATTAGAATTTGTTTTGTAACTTTGAATTTTAATTTACTAAAATTTTATAAAGCTTATCTTTAATTGAATCTGACAACTTTATTTTTATTAAGCCATAAATGTTGTTAGAATGTCATATTTCTGCCATTAGTTAAAAAATCTAAATTGAACAGTTTGAATTCAAAAAGAGAGATTTAATATGTATTTTTAAAGGATATTTCTAAGAAAATTCACATTTTTATGAAATTAATACATTTTTCATAAAAATTCACATTTCAGAAAAAGTGTTGAACTTTTTGATGATAAAGCCATGGTGTGCCAAAATGTTTCTGGTTTAATGAAGTCGTTTTATTTATTTGTTTTTTAATTTTGCTGAATGTTATATATAAATAGTACTATTATTTATGGAATTAACTTGAATGGCATGAAATTACTTTAAAATTTTTTACAATTTAAATTTATTGATGATTGTTCTGAATATTATAACTGAAAAACTCTTAACATATATATTTTAAATTTGAATGTTGAAATAATTAATTTTAAATCTAAAGATATATATTTTTTCAAATTTTATAAAAATAAGTTATATAGTATAAAGCAAAATAATAAACCTGAAAATATTAATAAAATTAATTTCTTTAATAAATGTTATTGTTCTTATTATTCATCTACATTTTAATTTTATGAAAATGCTGTTTTTTTTATCTACAGATCCTTATCATTGGGCTTGGTTACCAAATGCCAAAGTGCCATTTTCTAATGAAACTCGTGATTTAATTCTGCCTAAAATCTCAGATATGAATTTTGTTCAAGAACTTTGTGATGATTTATTAGAATTATTTAAGGTAAAATTAATATAAACTAAAATTAAATAATTCCTAAAATATGACTATAGAAAATTAAAAACTTAAATTGTTTTTCTGTTTTAATTAACGTATACATTTATTATTATTATTATTATTACTACAGACAGATAAAGGATTTGATGCACAAATATTTGAAAGGCAAATGTCTGTGATGAGAGGACAAGTAAGAATTTTATTCTATTTTTTCTCCTTGTTGCAAAATTATTTTATTTTATGTATAAATGTATTTTATTTTATTTCACTTGTCTCCATTTTATTGGAAATTATAGTCTGCTATAGAGCAAAACTTCAATGTCAATCAATGGGTTACAACTAGGGTTTGGCAAAACTGTAAATTTGAGACTCAGTGAGTCCATTTAGATACTATATATAGGTTTCTATTTATTGAACTTTGGTATCTATGATACATTCGAGCAACAAAAAATATGTATATTTTAATAAAATCCAAATAAAATATTTTTGTCTAGTTTACTTACTTTTTATTTAGGCCTATTTATTGAGATTTCATACATTTAGTAAATACAATTAATTTATAAAATTCATATCATATCTCATAGTTTCAATTAATCACTAAAGCATATCTCATAGTTTCAATTAATTAAAGAGGGGTTTTTCAAACCCCTCTTTAATTAATTGAAACTATGAGATATGCTTTAATGGAGTATATCAACAACTGTTACATAGCTTTCAAATACTTTCAGTTATCTCAGTCATCCGTAGGAAAGTAATTGAAAGCTACATAAAAGTTATCTTGTAAAGCATATCTCATTGTTTTAAAGTTTAAGTAAAATATTTAGTGTATTTATAGTAAAGTTTTAGTTTTTTTTTATTTTTTTACTCTTTCCTCCCTATTTTTTCACAGCTATTATTTGGTCAGGCCCACTGTAAGATGGCTGGATAGTGAAGGATGGGATCAATTTATCCAGATCAAAATTCTCATGAAAAATTCCTGGAGAGTTACTAATGCTGGACTCAATCCCTGGGTCCTCACAGCAGTAGGCTGACATCTTAACCACCTTGCCCATCCAGCCTTCCATCTTTTGATTTGAGACTACCTTGAAAGAATTAGCAAACTTTTGACTTCTTTGGTGTTTTTTTTTATTTCTGTCTGTATTTTATTTGTTAAATCTTTACAAAATAAATAAATGAGCATAAAATACATGCTTATACTTTGCAAACAGTGTTTCTGGATTTGAAAAAATTCTTTTGATTATTTGTTTATTTTCTGAATCTGTTGCAATTTCTTTTTATAGTTTGGACTATTTTTAACTCTGCCTTACCAAGTCTCAAATCAACATTGTGTTGTGCAAGTTGTAATGTCAGTATTGTAAATGTGATGACAAAACTAAGCTAGTTGTATTTAGACTAAACCTGCTAGTTGTATTTAGACTAAACCTGCTACTTGTATTTTATCTTTACTAATTATGTTTTGTTTTCTTACATCTTTACTAATAATGCTTTGACAATTTCTATTTAGTGCTGTTAAAATATGTAAGTTTTAGATTGTTAGAATGAGTGTAAAGTCTGAGTAAAAGAGAACAAGATTCAACAATTAATTAGAACGAAAAACCTTAGTTATAGAATAAAAAATAAATTTGTAATATGGAAGAACATATTAATTTTTTTAAAATTTCATAATCAGATATTTATATTATCTGCTTTTTATTTACAGATTTTAAATTTAACGCAGGCCTTAAAAGAAGCACAATCTCCAATTGGGCTTGTACAAATGCCATCAGTTGTTGTTGAGCGTGGTTCATTCAATGAAGATGATAAAATTCAGAGAGGATTTAGACCAACACTTTCTGAAAAATATCCAATATTTTCATGGTGTTAATAATTTTTATATAAAGACTATCACAATATCATAGCTTTGACTATCAAGCTTACAATAATTCTGAATTACTTTTCAATACTGCATTAATTTTTATGGCAGCATTTAGTTCATTTTTCAATATACATTTTTCATTCTAATAAATTATTAAGTAACACTTACAATATTATACTTATTATCTGTTGTTTATTTGTTCATTTGCATTTATTGTATGGTTTCTGCCATATTGAAACAAAATGTTTTTAAAGTACTAGTAACTAAGTAACACTTTATAATTTGAATTTGTTTAGTAACTATAACTTATTCAAATTTTTATGTATAATTACAGAAAACTGTGCCTATACAAAATGAAATTTGATGGAATTTATTTATATTTGTTTGTATATGTATGTGTGTATGTTGTGTAAATATATGCATACACACTTGTATATATTTGTTTATATAAATAATGTTAGGCATTCAATTTATATGTCAAATAATAAATAATATTTGACTTATTACTAAAAATTAATATCAAAGTGCAATATAATTAATAATCTATGAAAAGTTTTAAAAAAATATATCATTATATAAATCCTGATAAATTCAAATAAAATTTATCAAATTTTTTTTTTCTATAAAAACTTTTCAGAAAAAATATTCTGCTCATTATTTGCTCATTTTTAAGTTTATAGTTGATATAGCAAATTATTGTTGTTCTATATAAAATAATAATTTTATTTTAAATATTTATATGTAAATTATAATTATTTTCGGAAAGTAAATTTTCAAGCAATATAATACAAGATTATATTTCTGTATATAAATAGTATAAATAAATAAATGACATCTGATTTTGTGTTTTTTATTTCACTACTAAATGAAGATACCTGAAAGATCTCAGATTTAATAAAGTAATTTTTTGGAAAATTGTAAAGTTTACCATAAACAAAATTTTTGTAAAATTTAATAAACTTTTCTTTCATGTACAATCAATTTATACAGTTTATATATACAGTATATACATACACTGTAATCATTAGTGCCAACTATATTACCAGCTCTTGCTGACATCCCAGCAGAAACCTGTAATGTACACTTAAGTCTGATTAAGGGAAATCTTGTTAGTTACAATCTCTTTCCAGTTTAAAGTACTAGTATGTACTGTACAAAATGTAAGTGCAAGTAATATCGATTAACGTCAACGATTTGCTGTAATTAATAATAATGCTTTCAGAAAGTTTTAACAATATATAAACAAATTAAGCTAACAAATTCATTACTTGTGCATACTTGTTAAATGATAGTAAAGTTGATGACTTTTGGGATTCCTATAGAAAACTGGCCCATATTTAGATGTTAGGCACTTAAATAAAAGCTGGAAAACTCCACGTGGTGAGGCATAAAGTGTTCAATAGTTTCATCCACTCGCTGACTGGTGGGCACTAATCATGGCACCCACATCCTACAGTGGGGCCCCAGACCAGTATCATTGGTAAGCCCACTCAAACTCGAGACCTTAGTGGTGTGAGCCGAAGGACCAACCATTCGGCCTCCGTGGCCGCTTTGGGACATGATAAGACAGCTAAATGACAAAAAATATTTTCATTTACAAAAATATAGATTAGATTTATTAGAGACAATAGAGGAATTATACCGACAAATTTTACAATGACGAATACGACATTAAAGACAAAACAAAATAGGAACCAACACAAGAACTGAAAGAATGACAAAAAATTGAAAAACAAAGCACATTAACAAGGCAAAACTCAAGAAACTGTCGGTTAAATTATTTCGCAGTAAATTTTCTAGCTTTTGTCAAAGCAAATTTTTCGATCACGTCACTAAAATTTGTTTGTTTAGCTAAATCATTTTCAATACACAAAATTGCTAGGTTATTTAGTCACTCCTGACCAGTTGAGTTTCTTTGCCACTTCTTCAGTGAATTTGCCAGTTTACTGAAAGACCTCTCAGCCTAGGACACAGTTACTGGCACTAGACAAAACAGATTAACTCCCTTGCGACTTTCCAATTTTAGATATTAATGTAATTAAACATAAAAGATATTTAAAAGTGAAAAAAAAAACGAAAGAAATGCGTTAATTTTGAAGAAAAAGCTTCAAACTTTATTTTCCATTGTCTCGCCTTTATGTGAAATCTGACACCGATGAGTCATTGTGTTTACAGCTGAATGACCTTGAGAACATCTGGTGTTGGATTTCCCGGGAGATTATCAAAGAAGTCTCGGGAGGAGAAGGGTTTATAGTAGGGTGAATACTAGCTGGCTGTATATTTTTAAATATTTTTAAAAAATTAAAATTTTTATTGAGATTTCCGACCCCCGACTTAATTACACGTATATATAATAAAATATATTAATTTAAAAAATTAAAAAACTATTGGAGGTCGTTTTTGACATCAGAAAGTAGCTTTAAATAACTTTACCGAAGTAAAATCCGTGCACTACAACTTTAGAACGATGAATTAAATTTGATTAAAAAATCACATTAAAAAACAATTAAGCGTTAATCGTGCGTCATTAAAGGTAGATTAAAATCGCGATAAAATTTTTATACCGGGCACCCATGAACCCGGGCCTCCTGACTAGAGTTCGGTCAGTCACTATCATGTGGAGGCCATGGCACTAATGTAAGCACGCCGATTAGAGGGGTTATTCTTTTTCGTCGTGATGTTCTAAGGATGTTCACGTATGTGGGTGATGGTTTGCGGAGGTATAAAAAGATAAGTATTTACAAAAAAACCGTTTATTTTTCGACATATGCTTACATAATTGGGTTTGCACGTCCAAGTTCGATGGAGTGTCGGTGGAGAAAGTCCTGGATCCTTTCTTTAGTTTTTCTGAAGAACAGCGGTGAGTCAGATATCGAGATAATGGCGACAGGAAGGCTAACACGAGGTCTTTCTCGGGGACGATGTAGAAGGTTGGAATTGGGAAGCGGAAGTTCAGAGGAAGAAACTCAGAGGAACTCTGTGGAGGAAGCCAGAGATGGAAGCTTCCCGTGTCCTCGCTGACGGAGGTTTTATATATCTTTTTCATGTTCAATTCTATTCTAATTGGTCGGGCTTTCCCTTCCTCGCTCCCCGATTGGTCTCTTACCTGTCTCGAGATAGAATTTGAGGTCAAGTTAGGTTTCGAGAAAGGTCTGCCCGGGATGGTTTATTCGACACCATCCTCTCGACTCTGATTTTCTCGATAGTTAATTTAATAAATATACATTTCCATGGCCGAACTCAATATGAGTTCGGAATTGCTAAAGAGGCTCTCTCGGTGCTCACTGGATAGAAAGAGCATTTAAAAAACTGAGATATTTTAATCAGTGTGAAATGTAAAAAATTATATTTTATACACCTGTACTTTAAATATTATAAATGAAATTTTTAAACCTTCAAATTTGTATATTTTAAAAATAATAAATTTAAAATGTTTTAGTTAATCAAAAGATATATTCCATTATTCGAAAATCGTTCTTCAGTACGTAATTCTTTTTCTTTAAATCGATCATTAAACTATAAAATTTCATAAAATGTTAAAATTTTCGAAGTTTCAATATTGTAAATTTATGATTGATATGAAGCCGAATATAAAAAGCTATCTAAGTAATAGAAATATTCGCCATTTTCAGTCAATTCGAATTATAAAAATTTGCCCAAAGAATTTCTGTATCTTCCAGAGGAATTTCTGTAAGTAGACTGTGAAGTTGATATATATAAGAATGATTTATATAGAAAAACGATAAAAGAACAATGATTTATTTTTATAGTCTATGAATATTACTGGATGAATGCACTGACTAAAAGTATTAATAATAAATACAAGTCACTTAAGCAGCCCGAAGATAAAATTCAATGCATGTACGTGTGGATTGATGGAAGCGGAGAGCATCTAAGAGCTAAAACCAAGACTTTAAATTTCGTACCTAAAACGGTTAAAGGTACCGTATTTAATTATTTACTTGGGCTATTTTGTTGCTTGTATTTACGTAATATATTACTATAAAACTAAATGTCAAACGAACAGCCGGGAGAATATTTTAGGATTAATTTATTTAACAAGAGACGGGGTGTATAAATAACTGGAGGAGCAAAAGCTAGTAAACCATGAACATGTTATAATATCTTTAGTATCAACCGAGTAACCGAGATAGTTTGTCAGGTAAAGAGGTAATGGAGAGGTTGCGGCCGAAGTTTTTATTTCTCAAACGTGAACGCCGAACGTCGAGCGCCGCAATCTTGTAAGCGGTGCTCGACGTTCGACGTTCACGTTTGAGAGATGAAAACTTCGGCCGCAACCTCTCTAATAACATCTGTTTTGTCTCGTTCATCTGTTTGAAATTTATAATAAACTGTTTATTGACAAATTCAACATTTGTATTTACTCAATGAGTCACACTTTGTATTAAGTCTCATTCAACTGCTCGTGGTATTCACATATATCTGTATCTACATCTAAATTAATTCAACTTATATGCTGCCGGATGGCCAAGCGGTGAAGGTGGCATCCTGCCGCTATTGGGACCCGGACGAGTCAAAAATTCCCCAGGAATTTTTCATCATTGCCTTTCTAATTATTTATAACTCGGGTCTGCCTTCTGTCAAATTGTTTAGTAATTATTTACTCTTATAGTCCCTATAAAAATCTGGCTGTTCTTTTGATAATTCGTAATAACTATCGGGTTGGTTGTATTTATTATAACTATAAATATACTGTATATTATTGTAGAACTACCAATCTGGTCTTTCGATGGTTCAAGTACAAATCAAGCTAAAGGAATCAATTCTGATATATATTTACACCCCGTTGCTTTATATAAAGATCCATTTCGGCGTAATAATAATAGATTGGCGCTATGTGAAACGTACAATTATGACCACACACCTACTAGTACGAATGAAATTTTGATTTATCTTTATGTATATTTTGCATAGAACGGATCTTAATTATAATCAAATTTTCACAGAAACAAATAACAGAAAATCTTGTAATGAAGTAATACAAAAAATAACGAATGAGAAACCGTGGTTCGGAATGGAGCAGGAATTCACCTTACTCGGTGTCGATAAACATCCACTTGGTTGGCCTAAAAATGGTTACCCGGAACCCCAAGGTGGTATCATAAACTTAATTAAATAGATTTAAATGCATTTGTATCGACTATATTATTTTTAAAAGGACCTTACTATTGCGGTGTTGGAGCAAATAGGATTTTTGGGAGAAACATTATAGAATCTCATTATAGGGCATGCTTATATGCGGGTATAAATTTAACTGGTACAAATGCCGAAGTTATGCCAGCTCAGGTTTGTGAANAAAGGGATTTTTTGAAATTTCCTTCAGTGGGAAGTGTTAAACATTTATAATATACATTTTGAGCCACAGCAACGCATGGCTGGGTACAGCTATAAATTCCATATACATTCCATATAAATTTTGTTTCTACCAAGTAGTCCCAGATGACTGCTGTTTTACTTATGCAACCATTTACAATTAATAGAAAAATATTAATTTGTTTAAAACATTTTATTTTATTTTTTTTCAGTGGGAATTTCAAATAGGACCTAACGAAGGAATAACGATTGCTGACGATTTATGGATGGCCAGATTTATTTTGCACAGAATTGCAGAAGAATATAATGTAATCGTCTCTCTGGATCCGAAACCTGTTATCGGCGAATGGAACGGAGCTGGAAATCATACTAATTTTAGCACAAAAGCAATGAGAGAAGAAAATGGCATTAGGTATATAATTCGGACAAATCAATGGTTACTACAACTGGCCATAGTCTAGCTTTTTCTTTCTTTTGCTCTTTTTGCATTGTGAACGTTAAGAGGACCTTTACATTAATCAAAGCTATCATGGATTCAGCCAGATCCACAATGTGGCAGCTTTGATTGTAATATAAATTGATTAGAATTATTATCTTCTAATGTAACTACCATACACCTAGTTTTAATTCCCGATTTCTAGTTTTGAACTTATCCGGATTATCTTTTCGTAGAATAATCTGTAACACTCAGAGGTCAAGCGATCTTCGTATCCTGAACACGTCGTGGGTTCGCGCCTCGCTCTGACGGGCTGGTCAGGTGGAATTTTCCGGGTTTTCTTTACGTCTGTAACGCCTAAATAGGGGCTAGTTTCCATTAAAAAGACCTCTCGGAAGGCATCCCTCCTAGGCAGATTGCCTAAGTGTTGTGTTGCCATAACTTAACAAACAACAACAACTGTAACCTCGGATCTCTCGGTACTCCATCCCACAGTTTGCTAGAGCCATCTTTACTATAATTAGTTTAGCTATGCTCTATGTTTGATTTGGTTTCGTGTTATAGGCAACGTAACACATGGGATGCCAAGAGAATGCTTCCTGGAAAAACTTTCTATCAGAAATTGGTCCTATTTATGTGTTAAACGTATGAATTAAACACGTCCTTTCGGGCATAGTAAATTTATATTTACTTTTTTTTCCTTTTTAAATGAAAAAGTGTGTACTTTATTTATTTATTATTAAAATAATTTATGCCAATTCTCTTTACTGCAGAGTTATAGAAGAAGCTATTGAAAAATTACGAAAGAAGCACAAAGAGCATATCAAAGTATACGATCCCAAAGAAGGCAAAGATAACGAACGTAGATTAACAGGAAAACACGAAACTTGCAATATTAAAGAATTTAAATGGGGTATTGCCGATAGAGGAGCTAGCATCAGAATAACACGAGCTGTGGCAGAGAGCAAGAAAGGCTATCTAGAAGATCGAAGACCTTCCTCTAATTGTGATCCTTATTCCGTAGTCGAAATTATTATTAGAACAATCTGCTTAAATGAATAAATTTTATACAATATTTGATTAACTAACTGCGTATATTATTGACGTCGAATAGACATTGTAGCTGAATGGCCAAAGCGATCATGGATCCAATCTTTCAATTTGAGGAATCCGGGATCGAGTTCGGGTCGACTCAAAAGTTTTTATAGATAGATTGACTGAAAGATGGGGATATATCTTTCCCGTCTCTCATTACTCGTTCACACATCTTGATGATGGCAGCGGCTAAGGTGTGTGAATTGGATTCCAGGTTTCCAGAGCGGTAGAAAAACCCCATGAATATTTTGGGGATGGTTTGTGCGAATATATCGGGCTCCGTCCCTCACCATCCTAATGTCTCATTGTGGGGCTGGCCGAACCCATAACGGGCTTGTTGAAAAAAGAGACCCTTTTAGTAACCACAGGGTGGAAAGAGTTAAAAAAAACTCAAACACGCCCGTTACTGACCTAGTTTGAACCGATAACACGTCAGAAAATGTCTTCTTAGTGTCTATGGAAGTGGAAAAGTTAAAACTGAAAAAAGACCATTCCGTGTATCATATTAATGAAATTTTTATTTTATTGTAATCAGAAAATAACAAGACAATCACAAACAAAAATTTAGTATAATGCTTTAAGACACGCGGAAAACAATTCTGTAAAAAATCAAAATACTTGAAGCGCCAAAAGGCCATAGTACTATTATGGCCTTTTGGCGCTTCAAGCAACAAACATTTTATAATTATAAGATACTCGCTCAATACAGAGATCTTAGCAATGCATGAGATACTGTTCAATATAATTCTCATTCTGAAAGTGTAAAACTTGAAGGACATGTGCAGTACAATGTATTCAACGACCGACCGTAATTGATCCTCTGACATGCAATGTGTTAAATAGGTTAAATAAGAATACTTTAATTACGATTACCCGGTAAATGTTTTTTTCTGTAGATCAAGAAAGTTGTGCAGGAAAGATTCTTTTACAGGCGCTATTGAGTGGTAGAATTGATAACAATTATAAAAGTATAATATTTAGTTATATTTTTTATAAATTTATCACATAATAAGCGCAAATATACTAATAATTTTATTTAATATATGTAACAATACAATATTTTATTTCATTTACACTATGAAAAAAAGAAAATTTCAAAAACATGTGTGAATGTACTGTACAGTACATATACATGTATATATTTTATATTTATCTCCGTAGTACTTTATAAAAATATACAAATATCGACATACAGGAACATTATATGGGAACAGGTATAAAAGGTTTAATTTTATTTAACAATTTACCGACACAGACGAAGTCTCCCCGTGCCTTTACAGACTCGTCAATGCAACTGTCCCGGGACCACCTTCGATCGACGATCAACGCCCAGGACGTCCAAACAGATGATTGTCCTAAAGCAAACTATTTTGTACATAGTGTATGTTTATTTTATGTTAAAATAAACGATACTTGTCGTCTTTGTCTCTTTCGCCGCCACGCACGTACCAATGGAACCTAGATCATCACTGACGCGCAATTAACTGATTGGAAATCGGATTTTTACAGAAACATCATCAAATTTCACGGCACTCCACTGATTTGTAACTTTCCCTTTGTTAAAACAATTACTCGTTCCTCAAAAATTTACATTCAATACTTTTTGCAAGATGAACTTACGCAGCTTTATTTTGTATATAGGAGTGATACATCTTCCTGTTCTTTTATTTTTCTCATAGTCGACAGTGAAATAACAAAAGTAAATGCTAATACTAAGTCTAACTTTATATGTGTAACGTACTGTACACCCGGGATTTTTTCGGTTGACACGTGAGAAAATTATGCACGCGCAATTTTGGCTGGCCGTCCTTGGCCTATATGATTCCAAATGATACTAAACCGAAAAAAAAGCAATAAAACAAATAAATTATTGTATATTAATTTTCTAACCTGATAAAATGTAATTAATTTTATGTAAATTTTCTAACTTTATACTTATTGTTCTGACAAAAAAATTTTTTAAATGTAGAATGTGGATTATATACTTTCTCAGTAATTATGTACTNATTAAAATAAATGCTTTAGTTTTATTATAAAATTAAATTTTTATTTAATTAATAACTGTTATTTATTCGTTATTATTATTATTTAAAACTATAATTATGATTTGGAATATGTATATATATATATAAATATTATATTAAACTGTCATTACGTTATCGTTCGTATTACCGATAGCAGTAATGATAAATAATTATCAATAGAAAATAAAAAATATTTTCAAAAAATTATTTATTTAAATATTTTGTTATTATTTTTATTTCCAAAAATGAAAGACAGATGGCGCCGTTGGCGTGTAGTCTCGCTCCGTTGTCGGATTTTTAGTGCAAGTTAATATGGCGGAAAGTGTAGTTGAGGTTACTCAACAACCCGCTACTCCCGTAGAAAAATCAGAAGTACCAAACGACGCTGCTAGAGGCGGATTCGGTTTCCCTCCTCGTGGACGCGGATTCCCTCCTAGAGGACCTAGGTATATAAATTTTCTTAATTGTCGCTTTTAATATTATATATAATACTTAAAAAATTGTCAAGTATACGGTTTGGTTAAGCCTAAAATTGTTCGCGTGTTATTTTCAGTGCTTTGATGTAACAAAAGCGTCATCTGAAACTTTGCTTTTTTTATTTTTTTTCTTTTCTTTGCTTCGGACATTTTTTTTTCTTTTATGATGATTTTTCTGCAATAACCGAGTCAAAAAAATGTTTTTAAAATAACATCGTGTGTGACAATTGCATTGATCTTTTGTTACGTGGTAAGATTTTCGGCAACACGGGAAGATATTGTCGACGTTATTAAACAATAATAATAATAATAATGATCATAATAAATAATGTAGAATGGGATAAAAATATATTTAAATGGCATTCTGCCAGGGTTTTTCTATATAATGTTTTTATTGTTTTCATAATATACAGTCTTTAAAAGACAGAAATGATTTTAACAAATGTTTTTGTTTACAGATTACAAGTACAAAATGTATATTTAATTAATTAAAATTATAATAGATGCAATGCAATTCTGCTTCTTTTTGATGTGAGATGTGGATTGTGCCAATAGTAACGAATGCCAAATGAATCTTAAGATTAAAATATGATTTGCTTTATAGTTGAAATAGCATTTAATACACGTACGGATGGTTTAGTATGTGATTATTCTAATTGCGGATAATGTTGAGTCATTTAATGTAACCGAAATTGCCAGGTTTGGATGTTAAAATACATTATAAAAATTTAATTTGTTGTTGTTGTTGTTGTTGTTTTTATCGAGACATTGAAACACGCTTTTCCGGCAGTTAATTTTAATTAAAACTAATGGTTTTGGTCCAATTTATTAGCCTTTGTTGGGTTTATTTGTGTATTTTATTATATAAACATCCCTGCAAACCCAACGTAATGCAATAACTCACAATGACTGCCGTAAATCGCCGGGCTATAATTTGGCCGGTTCTTTTCTTCCGGTTTGATCTAAATTATTTAATTATTAATTTTAATACGAGATGGCACCTAATGCCTCCCTCTATTGCCAAATTTGTTTGTAATTTAGAATTATTTATTCTAAATTATAGCCTGATGATTTATGGCAGTTGTTGGTGAGTTATTGTATTTTATCATATTTCAAAAATAGAATCTCTATTTAAAAACCTGATGGTGTATCAATTTGGGCAGTTAATTTTAATTAAAACATTCGTTTTAATTAAAATTAACTGCTGGGAAAATGTGTAAGATGTGTTTACTGTCTTGATATAATGTGGTAGTTCCAGCTCCAACTATTATGAGTTGTTATTACCTTTGGGTAAATAGGTCTTTTAATCCCTTTTTGTGCTGTCACCCCAACATGTGGCATAACAATAGCTGATGATTTCATCTTAGGCTGGTATACACGGTAAGGAAATCCTTTGAGGATTAACCGGGATTTTTTTTTTCTATCTATCCATTTTTAAATAAAAATAATTCTTTATACGTTGGGAGATATTTTAATAAGTTTTGTAAATTACTATGTTCGATCCAGCCAGTTATATCCGAGTTTTTTTCGTCTGTTAAGCACATCCTTTGAGGATTTCCTTACCGTGTATACCAGCCTTTACTGTTACCAGTTTAGGTGGATCCCAAAGTGATTACAATAAGCAGTCTATTGTGTTTTACTATGCACATTAGCAATGCATAGTAAAAGTATTTGAATTATTAGTTTTTTGTTGTGGCATTTATGTAGAAAGTTTAAATATTATATCCTTCCCTCAATTTTGATCAAGTATAATTTTTATTTTTATATTTTTGTGTAATAATAATGTATGTAGCAAGATTTCAANTTAAATACATATAGACATTTTTTAAAGATACAAAACAAAGTTATATGTAAAAAAAAAATACAACATATAAATGTTTAAGTAAAGACAGTAAATTATAAATATTAATATTCGTAGTTAAAGTTCTTTATTTCAAATTGTATTTAAATAAATCAATAACAATATGAACATATTTTAATACACGTTTTCTATATAAGAATAACTATTGATCATTATAAAAATATATATTTATACTTTGGCCATTGCAAAGAAACATACAAATGAAAATCAAATTACATTGAATATTTACGCTGATTATTAAAACTAAGTTTTTTCTTGCATCATTATTCATTATTTATAATCATTTTCTTAGAAATCATTTTGGTTCCATTTGGTCTTTCACGTTAGGAAAACGTTGGCTAATGGATTCTCTATTATGAGAATGAAATAAATTTCATTTTATGAAAACAATTAGCCAAAAATTAATCAATAAACCAGAAAAATGAAATTTATTTAATTGTTATAAACTTTTTATTTGAAGCTAGCACATAAAATGTAATATCATAATATTTATGCAGAGGAATAACTTAAACTATGGTAAATAAAGTTTTTTGCATAAAATAATGTAAAATAAAAAATAAGAAAATAAAAGTATATAGTGTACTGTAGAGAATATGAATGCCAAATGATTATCTTTTCTATTAGAACTAATTTTAAACTTATATAAACGTTCTAGCCTGTTTATCTATATAATCTGATTTTAAGAAATAGCTGAAATTTTTTTTTTTAGATATTTTTTTATTATTAAATTGGATTTTAAAACTTACATTTGTTTCACATTTATATTAATATAAATGATATAACAAATTGTGAGATATGTTTTCATACCGTATTATTTTTTTATGGGCATAATCTATTTCTGAAAATTACTTGTAAAGATAAATTTGTAAAATAATTAATTTAATTTGAGAAAAATTACAAATGATTCCTGACTCCTCAAAAGTTCATTTTTTCACTAAAATATGCTAAATTGTTAATCATTCAAAAAAAGTTTGTTTTGAAAATATATCATTAAATACCAGCAGTATGATTTCTTTTTTTACTTGTTGGTGTACTTTTAGACAGTTGTTTTTATTATTGTTATTGTTAAGGAAAAATACTGTGTTAAAGAATAAAACAATTTCTAGACCTTCTTAGTTGTGCGATTGTTTTATAATCAAAATCATCTCAGTTAAACTTTATTTCAAACATTTCCCAGATTGAAATCTGATATACTATCTGTAAATTAATATTAATTGGATAAGAATTTTTAAAATTATCTTATCCTATTTACAGTTATAAAATTTCATATACTGTATGCATTTTCTACTTTTCATGTGTAAAAAATTTTCTAAAGAGAATGATATGAGTTGTAAAGTTTTTTTAAACTTTGTTTTTCCATAATACAAATTTAAACTTATGTTCCATTTGTCAAAAGGAATAAAACAAAAATGATGAAATGTTAGTACATTATGCTTGAACATTCAGCAGCAGTTTGAGATGATTGGTCATTTCGACACAGTTTTCTGGTGCTGATTCTTTGATACTCTGTTCAAAGTTTTTAAAGGGATCTTGGGGTTTCATATTCATGCTCATCCAATGTGAATTATTTGCAGCCAAAGATTTGTCAACAACGGTTTCAATGGCCACATTCATCCAGTGAGACGGTGGTTTAGGTAATGCTGCCGGAGACGGCGGATCACTGAATTTGGCACCAGCATACAATCCATTGTCACTGCACAGTGTAGTCGACTTGGTCGATGACATTCTGGACCGAGAGGGGTTGGCTCCCTGCTTCCCTTTTAGCTTTGGTGAATTTCTTTTCAGTATATTAATGCTGGCCTTATTAGGAACAGTGGTAGCAGGTGGTGTATAACATTTCCTCCAACCAGTGCCACAAGTACATGGAACTTGTATTCCCCATTCAGAAACATTCAAAGTTTGCCTTCTAGGAGGGCTAATAATACCATAGAGAGATGAATTTATATATTGGCCTCTGCACTGCACAAGCGGCAGTCCGACCACTTGAATGGCCTCAAAACTATTACTGATCATCATAATTTTAAATCAAATTTAAGCAAATCAATAGTTTTACCATCAAACATACAGCTTTCTCTATTTGTATATATTTATAAAATGGCTGACAGCTGCGTTACGTCAATAGAAAATCAAATGCAACTATTCACCTTCCTTTTTGACATCAAACTTCCTGTTATCTCTACTTCGCCCAATTCTCTTCTGTCTCTTCTTACTAACTCATTAAACACTTATCTATCATAAAAAGTCTATTTTCTGTACAATACGATCTCAAACCTGTAAACATACAGCCCTTATATGCGATTACCGACATCCTTCTCAGTGCTGCTTCATGGTTTAGCTTGATGTGTTTTCTTTATGACTAACCAATACCATATTTTCTTTGTAGTGAATCATTTGATGTAAGTTAATATTTTCTTTGTAGTGAATCATTTGATGATGAATTTATACAGAAATGTAAACCAAAATGTCTGGTTTATTTTTAAACAATAATATACTGTTAGTGTTATGTTTAATAAAATAATAAAGATTTCTAAGTAGGGGTTTTTATTTTATTTAGAATAAATGCAATATTACTTAAAAGCAGTTGGAAGTATGAAGAGGATAGTTTTTATTTATAAATATTTGTTAGAAAGTGATTCCAGAAATATTTAATATGTTAATACTCATTTTTTAAGACATAATTTTGTAGATGGAATGGATAAATCTTGGATTGACAGTTTGATAAAATTATTATATTTTGACAATTGATGTAAATTGCTGTTTATATAACCATTCTTAACCATAACATTGAATGCATTCGAAATTTGTAGCTTGCTCATAACAATTATTATATTTTATATTACAACATTAATGAAAGAAAATTTGATAAAATGTTTAAAAATGATTGAAAATAATGACAGTGATTTTCAGTGATGATTGAAATTAGTGTAATGAACATATAGGTGTGGTACATTTAAGATCCTTTCTTCCAGATTATTCTAAAGGACCTTAAATGTACCACACCTTATGTAAATTTGATATCTAATTACTAATATTAATACAAAATGATGATGTAACCATTACCTTTAATAAAATTTTAAATAAATAAATAAATCTAGATATTATGGCTGATATACATGTCAACAAATATTAATCCATTCAGGATAAATTAAACGATAAAAGAACCAATAGATTTTTACTATGTTTAGGTTAATATGAAAATTTATACCTCAGATTATAAGAATTTGTTAAGCTAAACTGGAATGCCACCTGCTAATAATTTAAAAATTTTAAGAACATTTGTTGATAATTGACTGTTTATTTTAATAATTAATACTTATAATCATTAATTTTCATGTAACATAAATAAAACCTACAGAAAACAATGGGTTTTTTTCATCATTAGATGAATATTTAACGAATAATAAATATAGAATCCATCTAAGTATAATTAACTATATAAAATTACAATAAAAATTTTATTGAAACAATATGAACTTTGTAATTGTTTTTAATATACTGTTAAAGAAATAAATGAAACCACACTAATATAACAGCAGGATTAATATTGTGTTTTTGTGTTTTCTGTTATAGCAGCATGTATATTGTTATGCTGTTAAAGATAATTTTACATTGAACTAATTAATCATAAATATTAATATTTAAATTAAATTTAAAATTTTTTATGATAATATAATTAATTTGAAGATATTGAAAATAATTATCAAGGTAATAATTAAATAAAAATGATTTTGTTTTTGTATTAGTTGAGATTTTCCAATATATTCATGTTTGATAATTTCTCAGTTATTATCAAAACATTGTTGTTTATGAAATACTATTATAAGTTTATACTAAAATATGATAATGATAGAGGATAGGATTTAATAACATGAAAGATATTAATGAAATTTGAACTATTAATAAATATTAAGCATGTACAAACAATAACTAGCATGTGATGTGTTCAGTTCTAAATTTATGCACGGTTCTAAATGTACCGTTTCTAATAAACCGGTACATTCACCAACTTTGACGATTTGCGCAGAAAAGATTGAAATATACAGGAGCAGATTACATGATGCATGCATTAATTCTAGGGATGCTGAAGGGTTGCCTTCCGCCTGGAAGTACTTAATCAAGCGATTGGACAGATCTTAATGCCTTGTTTTTAGTGTTTTTTTTAGCATATCTTGCGTTTTATAGAATTTAGCATAATGTATTACGTTTTTAATGTTTAATTATCCTATGCTTATTTTTCATATACATATTTTATAATAAGAGTTTTTATTTTATTTTATTTTTATTTATACATTTATATACTGTATATATATATTTCATTCGTTATTTTGTTTTTTGTATTTAAAATTTTTGTTCTATTTTGTTTGTATTCGAAAAACTTAGCCTGATGATGGCCAATAGATTTGGCTGAAAACGTTAGCTTTTCATTAAAAGTTTTTCTCAGCAAATTAAGGTGTTGTTTTTTTGGTTTACAAGACTGGAATGTTTTTAAATTTATATTGATCTGAACTAGCATAATTTTTGTGAGAAGATTACATCCTCTGCCAGACAAAGTATATGATAGCAAATTCTTAAATATTAAAACACAAAAAAGTATTATAACAAATGCTTTAATTCCTTAATCCTTATGCTATTTATCCTGTCAAGTTCATTTATAAAATGTTCTTTAAACACAAACACTTTTGGCTAATCATTACATTTTATTATCCATTCCAAGTTAGTGTGAGGCCTACCATTTTCCTCTCCAAAATTTGTTGTTATTTTATATATATATATATATATATTCATGAATTGTTGTTTACATTATCTATATAATTTTAATCATTCTGCTAATAATATATTCTCATTAATCAGAAATATTGTATTTTAAACTCTATATGTATTTTATATCATTTTTTTTGTTCTGTCTGGTTGTGTAAAGAACAACTGTTAGCTATCAGACAGGATGCCCTTTGGACCCACATCTTGAAGATGTGTATATAAACTCAACACAGAGATTGTTTTTATATCAACCAACCTTGTAAAGGAATTTGCCTATTTTTTTGATTTCAGGGACCCACTTTCCAAATTTTTAGTAATGTCGATTTAAAATAATTTAGAGAAATTTAGATGAGGGGATGACCATCGTTTCCCCCTTTTTCGATGGTGTTGGGTGACTGATGATATGTTATCTATGTCACATTGATGCATATTATTCTTCATTGACAAGAGAGGAGGAGGACCATTGGATAACTAATCATGCTTTTTACAAATTACTTCCCCTTCCTCTGGAATAAAAGCATGATTGGTCAAAAATGAAGAATAAAACTGAAAGAAATGATGAAATCAACAGACTGGACCGACTGACAGCCTGACAACTGAACAGGAGACAACCAACTGAGCAACTTAGCCTGGGAGTTAGACGTAGAGGACAGAGCAACCCAGTGAGAGATGGAGAAAACTGCTGAGCGACGGACCTACTGAAGGACCAACTGGAGGGACCGAGTAAAGGAGAAAGAAGACGAAGAGGAGAAGAGCACAGGCAGAGAAAGTGAAGAAAGAAGAGATGATGACTATCTTCTTGGTATGTTGTGAGTCACGCAGTTCCGATGCCCTTCTGTTAGGTACTCCCACCATTTTATAAATAGAAGTAGGTCAACTTACTAAATTGGATTTTATAATTTAGTTTTAAAATTTTGTTTTTCGATAATAAACTTTTTCATTTGTGCTTGACTTTGCATTCATCCTCCTGAGAGGCTCATTCCTGGACTTTGGAGTGACTCTTACCCTTGTGCCTTAACTATTTGTTTTTTTTGTCTAAATTGGAGGTGTGTAAAACAAAACACACCTGGTGGTAGGGCCCTAAACTAAACTTGCGTAATCTAATTTTTGACAGTCACTACCTCCACATTAGCAAGCTGTTAATACTTATTTCATTTCTAATATAACTTCTTTGTGCACACCGGGATGTATAATAAACAAAAATATATATTGTTTATTATACAGTATATATTTTGTCAATACAATTAAACAAAAAAAAAAAATATTAACTGATTTCAATGTTATGTTCTTGTATATCCACATTTTTTTTTGCAGCCAAATGTTCTTTCTTTTTCTTTTTCAAGGGTGTTTTTCTTTCTCTTCACTTCATACTAACTACTTTTTTTTTAAAGTTTGTTTTGTTGTTATTTTCTCTCCTTTTTCAATCTTCTTTATATTCCATCAACTCTTATTTCCAAGTTTCTCTTCATGATAACTATGTAACACTTATTCCTTTCTTTATTTTCTTCTATTGCCATCATGTAAACTTTGTTTTGTCTCCTATTTCTATTCTTTTTACCAAAATTCATTTCTTAATTTACCAAACAATTTGACATTTTTCTTATAAAAATTTGCAGTTATACAGTTTATCTGGCTAATCATTACATTACAAATTCCCTCATCTTTTCCTTCGGAAAAGATGAGGGGATTTGTAATGTAATGATTCATTTGTGTTCATTTTGGTCATCCCAGGGGGGGGCCATCCCCAGGGGTGACCCATTGGGGATTTGTAATGTAATGATTCAGATGTGTTCATTTTGGTCATCCCCTCATCTTTTCTGAAGGAAAAGATGAGGGGATGACCAAAATGAACACATCTGAATGATCCATGCTTTTATATGCCTGTACACCCACCAAATTGTAACAAATATGGCTGAAGAGGGACAGACAACCTGTCCGAAATGCATACCATTGTTGTAATAAACCTGTGTATGATTACTCTGACAATGTCAATAGTGTGAGTCCTCCAAAACTTAGTGATCATAGTCATCCCCTCATCTTTTCCTTCGGAAAAGATGAGGGGATGACCAAAATGAACACATCACATGCTAGTTATTGTTTGTACATGCTTAATATTTATTAAAAAGTATGACATTAGTCTACTACCAACATAGTAGCATTGCTTCTGTAGTAGAGAACATTGTTTGTACGAGCTGACTGCTTGCAAAGAAACATATGTAACCTTTTTTAAAACAGCTCTTACTTTTGTAACTGTAATCTTGTTTATAACTTTTTATTAAGTTTGTCTACCATAGTATTATTTCACAATTAATTTCATTAACAAC